GGGAAAGAATGAACATAAATAAGTTATTTATAGGCAGGATCCAATGCTTGCACGCTGCACACAGGACCATGTATGCTGCGTACATGGTCGAAGTGTTTGGCTTGGTGCGGTGCCATGCGTCAGATTCTGCTTGGTGTTGTGTGGCCTCTTCTAGAAGCGTGCGTACATGCCGATTTTCTGATTTTCAAAATTACGTAACTTCTTCACACAAGCTCCGTTTTTTATGTTCTTTATATCCATGGAAATCTACCAATGAGATCTACAAATTTCATTCAGACTCAGCTGGCTAGTTTTTATTTATTTATTTTACACATGTTAGACTGTTAAAGCTTGTATAAAATGCATAACACTCTCATCTGGCGTCCGTTTTCGACTGTCTTTATATCGTTGAGCTCCTATTAACAAGATGTCCAAGTCTCGTTTGGATTGTTTCGGCTAAAAAATGACCGATCTAAAACTCGAATTCTGTGCTCGCACTATTGCACTGAAACTTCAAAAAATCATAACTTCCTCTCACGAAGTCAGATTTGCACGTTCTCTATATGGACGCTCTTGGTTGAACAACTAATACGACTTTCGTTTAGATCTCTAAGGCTAAAAAGTAACCTAACAAAAATGTACTTTTAATGACGCGCGTTGTCGTATCGGGGTCGAATCGTGAAACTTAAAATGATTATAACTTCTTCGTTATAAGTCGGATTGGAGCATTCCTTATATCTCCAGAATCTTCATCGCGGCTACTTTATCTTTCATCAAGGATATTCATCCTAATTATTATTCTATTTAGACGCGTGTTTTATATTATATTATAATAATCAAATAATGTATACACGAAACACATAATATTCACATAATTCTACTTTATTACATAAAATAGGTTACAATTTTTTACCCTAACTATTACGTCATCTTATTAATGCCTAGTGGGAAATGCAAGCGTTATTATTATCTCCCCATTAAGGTGATTAAATCTTCATAATCATGCATCGGAAAATAGATGTGGATATCGATTCTTCATCTCGCTTTCTGTCTCCCAGGTGAGGTTCGGCCCCGACGTATGTTTCCATTGAACAAGCACTAAATTGACCATCTTACTTCGCAACTTCTTCGTCTTATGGTCAACAATTGATTCGGAAATAGTTCTTTAATTCTTGAATTATGAAAAGTGTCATTTTATGGTTGATAAAAGTCTCATACTTAGTCATGTTGTGTCTTCTAAGGGTCTAGAGATAGGAAAAGAAACAATTGATATCATTAAGTCTTTACATTATCCCATTTTTGTTTGTGAGGTACGCTCGTTTCTTGGCCACACATGTTTTTATAGAAGATTCATCAATGATTCTTCCAAGATATCTCGTCCCATGTGTGAGCTCCTACAAAAAGATGTAGAATTCGAATTTTCCAAGGAACACAAGCAAGCTTTTGATCAGTTGAAGGAGTTGCTAATTTCCGCACCAATACTTCAATCACTAGATTGGAGTTATCCATTTGAAATATTGTGTGATGCTAGCAACCACGTGGTTGGCGCAGTGTTGGGGCAAAGAAAAGATCGAGTTCCTCATGTCATATATTATGCCTTAAAGACACTTGATAGTGCACAAGCCAATTACTCCACAACAGAGAAACAACTGTTATATATTGTCTTTGATTTAGAGAAATTTCATCAATATTTGTTAGGTAAGTGATTGTTTATTCTGATCATGCAACTCTTAGGTACCTGCTTGAAAAGAAAGATTCAAAGCCTAGACTCATCTGATGGATTTTACTCTTACAAGAATTTGACATAGAAATCAAGGACAAGAGCGGAAAAGAAAACCTTGTGGTTGATCATCTTAGTAGGATTGTCACTCCTGATGACCCGAATCCCATCTGTGACAACATTTCCGGATGAAAATATGTTTTCAGCAAAAATTTCCCTATGGTATGCCGATATGGTGAACTACATTGTCACAAATCAGATTCCACTAGATTTGACTCATTGGAAAAAATACAAAATCAAGTACGAAGCCAAGAGGTATGTCTGGGATGAGCCATACTTGTGGAAATATTGTGTTGGCCAAATGATCAGACGATGTGTTGAACAACATGAAGTATCTTCTATCTTAGATTTTTGTCACTCTCATATTTATGGAGGGCATTTTGGTCCTCAAAGAACTGTAAAGAAAGTCTTAGAGAGTGGATTTTACTGGCCAAGTATCTTCCATGACTCTTATGTTTTTTTTTCAAGCTGTGATAAGTGTCAAAAGATGGGTTCTTTGAGCTCAAAGAATCAAATACACCTTAACCCCATTTTAGTTTGTGAAAATTTTGATGTTTGTGGGCATTAATTTCATGGGTCCTTTCCCATCTTCTTCAGGTTTTACTTACATTTTGTTGGTTATGGATTATGTTTCTAAGTGGGTGGAAGCTAAAGCCACCCGTACTAACAATTCAAAAGTTGTGATAGATTTTGTCAAGGCTAACATTTTTTCCAGATTTGGAGTTCCTAAAGCCTTAATCAGTGATCGTGGTTCACATTTTTGCAATCGTATGCTTTGAAGTGTCTTGAAGAAGTAAGAGGTTACTCATAAAGTTTCAATAGCATACCACCCACAAATGAATAGTCAATCCGAAGTGAGAAATCGACAAACAAAGGGTATTTTGGAGAAAACTGTCAATACAGCAAGACTCCAATTGGAATGTCTCCATACCGTATTATTTTTGGGAAGCCATGTCGATTTCCCGTTGAGTTGGAGCATAGAGCCTATTCGGTGGTCAATCAATTCAATATGAACATGGATGAATCGGGATAGAAAAGAAAGCTTGACATAGAAGAGCTTGAGGATATTTGCAATGAAGCTTATGAGAATGAAGTTCCTTACAACTAGAAGCCAAAAGCGTACCATGACAAGATGATTTCTTGCAAGGTATTTAAAAAAGGTCAAAATGTATTGCTACACCACTCTCATTTTAAATTAATTCTAGGTAAACTAAGGTCCCGTTGGGTGGGACCATTAGTTGTTACTAATGTTTTTGAGCGTGGTGCAATAGAAATTGTAAGTGAAAAGACCGGGAAGACTTTTAAGGTAAACGGGCAGCGTTTGAAACCTTATTATGAAGGATTTTAAGTTAAAAACGAGGAATTGGAGGAAGTAGAGGATCCAAAGTATCAAACATGACAAATCATTAGGGTCCACGTCGAGCCACTGACTTTAAACAAAGGGCAGCTAACCGAGAGGCATCTCGGGGGTATTTTCGTCATTTCTTTGGTAAAAAATTCATACGGACAATTTATTTCATGTTTTTTTGTTCCAAGGTGCTTAGAATACTTAGGGAAGTCTAAAAACACATTTCATGGGTTTAAAAGTGTGCGGAATTGAAAAAGAAAGAAAAAAATTTGGGTTTATTCAGGGGATTCCACGGCCGTGGAATGTATACCCTTTACCATTCCATGACCGTGGAATAGATATTGTCGAGAAAATAAAAAAATAAACATGCAACTTTTTATTCTCCCAGTTACTCTTTATGAAATAAAAATGCTCCTGCCTTCATTCTCTATCGCCTACTGTTGACGCAACCAAGAACATACAAACACTCATCAATTTTGCTTCCCTTTTACTTCAATCTAAGATCAAAAGGTATGATTTCTTGTTACCTAACTTGTTCCTTCTTCCCCAACATGCAATGGATCTCTTTCCATGGAGTTTTTCGGCCATATGAAGAACCCTAGAATTTTTGGGTCCAAAATTTTTGTGATATTTTGTTAAATTGTTTGTCGATTAAGCTTGGGTAAGCAAAAGGGAAGTGATTTCATACACCAATTTTGACTAGAACAACCAAAATCAGGTATTCTCTTTCCGATTTTAATTTTCTTTCATTGTTCATAAAAGCTCGATTTTGTGTTTTTGTGTGATTCTTGGCTGTTAGTTGTTGTTCATTGGGTATTTTGTGCTTCAAAGTCATATCTTCACACTCCAAAATATCCACATCCTGTAAAAACACTTCCAAAACTAGTTCTAAACACCCTAGAGGTGTCTCATCTTCAAGTAATGCTCCCAGTCAATAAAATCCATCGGTCCAAAATCAGATTGGTGTTGAATTTTATACACCCGAACAAGAAACTCGTTACCATTCTCTATGAGGTAGAATTCGGGCAGCCCAAAAATTTGCAGACATTCCTACTATTCGATCATTGCACATTGACACCGAAGTCCGCAAACTTCTCATGAACATTGGGTGGGAAGGTATTCTCTTAGTTAGTGATGTGGGTTATTTATAGTCTACTATGGAATTCTTATCTTCCATTGAGTATAATTGTGCCACTGAGTTCTTATCCTTCTGTGCTTTCAATCGAGATCGCCAACTTCACAAAAACCAAATTTGTGTGATTATTGGTGCTCTGACCCACAACACATATGGTCCATTTAGGAGGATGAATACATCGTTCTCTCTTTAATGTAATCGTTTTTTGAGAAGCATTATCGGACTCAAGTACAATTTTCGTTCCACCAAAGCCACAACTCTTATTCCTCCCGTGTTAAAGGTTGTTCACCGCATCTTTGCTTCCATCTTATTTCCTCAAGAGGAATTCAACAACGTTGGTTAAAAAGAGTTGGAATTGTTGTGGTGTTTAGTTAATAGCCCCAGTCTCCGTCCTGACTTTAGAGAATGGGTTATTTACAAACTTCTAAAACTCAACAGAAGTAACAATGGGCAGTTACATTGTGGTGGAATGATCACCATTCTCTTAAAACATCCTGCTTTGGGAATACATTTTCCCGAAGGTCTTGAAGTTATTTAGGGTGAACACCGCCTAACCACCAATGTGTTCCCAAATATGCAACTGTTGCGGATAGTTGAGCATGATATTTATTGGCAGGTTGAGGGTGTGGACTATCTTCACATTCACAGCCGAAATCATGAAATTCTAACCCTCACTTACCCACTCACCGGCATGGAATGGTGTCTTGATTCCAATTTAGGTGTTGCAATGCCTAGAGACAATCTTTACCTAAAAGGAGATGAACCATTTTTTCGATGCTCCAATTCCTGATGCTGCTACACCAGTGCAGCAAGAGCATGCCATGCATCCTTATCATGACATGTACATGCAAGAATTTCAGTCGTTGCATGCTGAAAATAGGCTTTTGCATCGTGACTATTCTGACCTGTATGAGAGTGCTTGTGAGATAAATACAGAGATGGTGGAGTTGACAGAAGAGTTTTATGCTTTTAAAGAAAGCCAACAAACGCACAACCAACATATGGACACCCTTATGAATGACAATCATCTAGTCCTTCGCTTGGTTGGTCAACCCACACGACCATCCTACTATCCCGCCTATCCACATCCACTCCCACAACAACCGCCACAAAACCAACAACAATATCCTCCATAATATCTGCCCCATCACACGCCTTACGATCCTCCTCAGTATTCGGTCCCGCTCTCTTCCCAAGCATCGAGGACGATGCATCACTTTAAATCTTGGGGAGGGTTAAATTTCATTTCATTCATTGCATTTATAAAAAAATGCATAAAAGTATTTTAATTTCATTGCATTGCATTTTAAAAATATAAAAATAAAAAATGATGAAAATGTATTTTAAAAAAATTAGAAAACATAAAAATACAAAAAGATTTTTCCTTTTTATTTAAGTTTTTAGGGGTTTTTTCATGCATTTTTCTCTCCTCTTTCTTCTTGTCGACTGGATATTAGAACTAACATGTAAACGTTTCAGAGAGATAAGGATGATTTAAACGTCCATAAAAAATAAAGATCTAAATTCACCCTATTCGGTGTATAGATCAAAATGGAAAGAACCCGAAGTGGAGTCAGGAACGCAAATGGAAATAGGAATCAGCCCCCAGTTATTGAGCAAATACCTGTTGTAGCAGATGCTCCAGAGCCAATCACGATGGCCGGAGTACAAGCGATGATCCAAATGATGTTTCATCGTCAAATGGAGGAGCCTAGACGTTTACTTCAACATAATCGATATGAAGCTACAATACTGGTCGAACAACCCGAGCTGAATGATGGGCAGTCGGAAGGAGGGAACTATAGTGGGACTGTTGGTCAAGCCAACCCACCGATAGTTAGACAAAACAACCAGGATGGAGGAAATGACGGGCGTGGGTGCAAGTACAAGGATTTCATGGCATCCAAATCACCGTGTCTATCTGGAAGCCCGACACTGGTGGAAGTCATGAACTGGATCTCCGAGATGGACACAATGTTTGAGAGTTGTGAGTGTAGCAACAGACAGAAGACCGCTCTCGCGGTTCCCCTGTTAAAATCTGGAGTACTGAGCTGGTGGAAGCTACTAGCTGATTCAATGCCCAAGGGTGAAGCGAGCAAGATGTATTGGGAGGATTTTCTGGGCAACTGAAGATGCAATACTGCTCGGAGCAGGATCTTCTGGAAATCAACAATGAGTTCTAGAATCTGAAGAAGGGAAGGATGAGCGTCACTGAATATCGCTGCAAGTTTTACATAGAAAACGAAACTTGTTTCGTACCTAGTTCCAACCGAACTCTCCAAGGTTAACAAGTTTTCCCATGGATTACCAACGGACTTTGGTCCGATGGTCAAGCAAGCAACCACTCTGAAAGCCGCCATCTGGGCTGATAAGAATGTGGAGACCCAGATACGAGAAAAGGGTCTGGAGAGAGCGGAGGTTGGTGAGAAATGGAAATTTGATGGGTCGTCGAAATTCAATAAGAAGAACAAGTCCAGTTCAAAGAAGAAACACTCTGGAAAATGTGACAGAGAAGTCACTTGTTTTAAGTGTGGAAAGCCCGAGCACTATGCCAACGAGTGCACGTTCAATAAGAAGGTTTGTTATGGGTGCAACGAGGAAGGGCACATCTCGAGGGACTACCCGAAGAAGAAAGAGGCAGCAAGACCCAACATCCCACCAAAGCCGAAGGCGAGAGCCTTCCAGATGATGCTAGAAGCTGCGAAGGAGGCAGCAAATGTCGCTTCAGGTACCTTTCTTGTAAATGGATTACCTGCCAATATACTATTTAATTCGGGAGCGAACTACTCCTTTGTATCGCATAAATTTGGTAGGAAACTAGCATTACCTGTAGAAAAACTTGATAATGCCCTAGTTGTGGAAGTTGCCAGTGGCAAGTTCGTACCTGTTAGTGATCGTATTAAGAACATCGTCATTGACTTAAATGGAAACGAATTCCATGAAGAGCTATTACCCATAGAATTGAACGGTTTCGACATCGGTTTGGGGATGGATTGGCTTAGCACCAACGATGTCGAGATACTTTGCAGAAAGAAGATAGTAAGAGTAAACCCACCCGAAAAAGAGTCATTTATGGTGTACGAGGACAAACGCAGAGTGAATTCTGGAATCATCTCCCTGATGAAAGCCAAGAAATGTTTGTCCAAGGGATGCACATCATATTTGGCATCGTGATTGATGCAAAGAAGGAGAAAAAAGAGGTGCAGAGTATACTAGTGGTGTGTGATTATCCAAAAGTCTTTCCCGAAGATCTTCCTGGATTACCGCCTGATAGACAAGTAAAGTTCCGAATAGACTTGTTACTAGGAACGACACCAATAGCGAAAGCACCATACCGATTAGCACCAACGGAGATGAAGGAGCTCATGACACAACTTCAGGAGTTGTTGGACAACGGTTTCGTTCGACCTAGTTCATCACCCTGGGGAGCTCCGGTGTTATTCGTGAAAAAGAAGGATGGAAGCATGAGAATGTGTATAGACTACCGAGAGCTGAACAAGGCAACGGTGAAGAACAAGTATCCATTGCCAAGGATTGATGGCCTATTCAATCAGTTGCATGGTTCGAGCTATTTCTCAAAGATCGATCTTAGGTCAGGATATCATCAGCTAAAGGTAAGAGAGCAGGATATTGAGAAGACTGCATTCAGAACAAGATATGGACACTACGAGTTCTTGGTTATGTCATTTGGACTAACCAATGCTCCAGCATCGTTCATGGATCTGATGAATAGGGTTTGTAAACCATTCCTCGATAAATCTGTGATAGTGTTCGTAGATGACATTCTCATCTACTCGAAAGGCCAGGAAGAGCATGGAAAGCATCTACAAGAAGTGTTGGAAGTGTTGAAGAGGGATAAACTATATGAAAAGTTCTCCAAATGCGATTTTTGGATCCGAGAAGTCCAATTATTGGGTCATGTGGTTAACCAAGAAGGGATAATGGTTGACCCAACAAAGATCGAAGCTGTGATGAAGTGGGAATGACCGAAAAGTCCCATGGATATTCGAAGCTTTCTGGGATTAGCTTGATATCACCGAAGGTTTATCCAAGGCTTTTCTTCGATAGCTACTCCATTGACAGCTTTGACCCACAAAGGAGCTACATATACTTGGAGTGAGAAGCACAAAGAAGCATTCGAGAAGCTAAAGAAGAAATGATGTGAAGCACCAATTCTTTCTCTACCCAATGGATTTGAAGATTTTGCAGTGTACAACGATGCGTTGGGAGTCGGGTTAGGATGTGTTCTAACTTAAAGAGAAAATGTTATAGCATATGCATCTCGACAATTGAAAGAGCACGAAAAGAACTACCCCACTCATGATCTGGAGTTGGCAGCGGTAGTATTCGCTCTAAAGATATGGAGGCATTACCTCTGTGGCATGGAGTGCAAACTTTTCACTGATCATAAGAGTCTCCAGTATCTCTTTAATCTGAAGGAATTGAATATGAGACAACGACGTTGGCTAGAGTTACTCAAGGACTACAAATGTGAGATACTTTACCACCCCGGTAAAGAAAATGTTGTAGCTGATGCTCTGATTCAAAAAGTCAACCTAGAGAGAAAAAGGCCAAGAGCATTAAGAATAGAAGTTGTCTCGACTATTATGGAAAGTATCAAGAAAGATCAAGAAGAAGCTTCAGAGAAAAATGACCGAAAGGAGGAACGTTTAGGCAAAATGTTAGTGTTCGGTACAAACAATCAAGGATTAAAGGTATTCCAAGATAGAATTTGGGTACCTAAGACAGGAGGAGTAAGAGATCTTCTGATGGGAGAAGCCCACAAGACCATGTACTCGATTCATCCCGGCTGCACTAAAATGTATAGGGATCTAAAACCCTACTACTGATGGCCGACGATGAAGCTCGATGTTGCAAAGTATGTGGCCGAGTGTGTAACTTGTGCAAGGGTTAAGGCACAACATCAGAAACTGTATGGGAGTTTAGAACCTTTACATGTACCCATGGGTAAATGGGAAGACATCACCGTGGATTTTGTGACTAAACTTCCCAAGACGAAGAACGGCCACGACATGATTTGGGTAGTCGTGGATCGTTTCACTAAGAGTGCACACTTCATAGCAGCCAAAGAGAGGTGGTCTATGGATAAGCTCGCAAATGCTTACGTGAAGGAGGTAGTAAGACTTCACGGTGTTCCTCTAACGATTGTATCAGATCGTGATAGTCGTTTCACGCCAAGGTTTTGGAGAAGTCTACAAGAGGAATTGGGTATGAAGTTGTGTTTAAGTACAGCTTACCATCCGCAGACTAATGGTCAAAGCGAAAGAACGATTCAAACACTTGAAGATATGCTGAGAACATGTACCCTGGAATTCCAAGGTAATTGGGACGAGCACTTACCTCTGGTAGAATTTTCCTACAACAATAGTTTCCACCCGAGCATCAAGATGGCACCCTATCAAGCCTTGTATGGATAAAAGTGTCGTACGCCATCTTGTTGGCTTGAGGCCGAAGAAAAGCAGTTTATGGGCCTGGAGATAGTCCATCAGACTGCTGAAAAGCTGAAGGTGATCAGGGAAAGAATGTTAGCAGCTCAGGATCGTCAAAAGAGCTATGCTGACAAGAAAAGACGACCGATGATGTTTGAAGTTGGAGACTCGGTTTTACTTAAAGTCTCACCGTGGAAGGGACTTATAAGATTTGGGAAAAAAGGAAAGTTGAGTCCAAGGTTCATTGGACCGTTCAAACTTCTTCAGAGGATTGGGAACCAAGCTTACAAGCTCGAATTACCGGAAGAAATGGATGGTATTCATAACACTTTCCATGTGTGTTATTTGAGGAAGTTCACGTGAGAAGTTCCCGACATAATTCCAATCTCATAGTTAAGGATGGATGAGAATAAAAGGCTAATCGAAGATCACGAGACAATCGTTGACCATAAGACTAAGAAGTTACGACGCAAGATGGTCAACTTAGTGCTAGTCCGTTGGAAACATACGAATAGGCCGAATCTCACTTGGGAAACAAAGAGTGACATGATGAGTCGCTACCCATATCTGTTTGCTGATGCATGATTCCGGGACATAATCATCCTAAGGGGGAGAGAATTGTAACGCCCATGTTTCTGGGCTACGCATTAGTATAATGATGTAATAGTCAAGGTCAACAATTGTAA